CATGCGTGCGCGCGCGCGCACACACTAGAAAAGAGCCAGGGAAAGTGTGGAGATGTGAGAGATGTCACAGCTCACTGTGGATGCTCATGGGTCTTCCCACCTCTGATGTACACAATGACAACTTCACACTGAGAGCCAGTGTGGTGTAGTGGTTAAGAGCATGGGCCTGGGACTCAGACGATCCGGGTTCGAGTCCCCGCTCGGCCATGGAGCCAACTGGGTGGCTTTGGGCCAGTCACAGACTCTCAGCCCAACCTACCTCACAGGGTTGTTGTTGTGGGGATAAGATGGAGGAGGAGATGTAAGCTGCCTTGAGCCCTTTGAGGAAAAAGGCAGGATATAAATCTATCTATCTATCTATCTATATCTATCTATCTATCTATCTATCTATCTATCTATCTATATATATATTTGACTTCTGCAACGCGCTCTACGTGGGGCTACCCTTGAAGACGGTCCGGGTACTTCAACTGGTTCAAAATATCACTGCCAGGCTGCTGACGGGGACTGGGCGTTATGTTCACATGACTCCAGTCCTCCGTCAGCTTCACTGGCTCCCCATTGAAGTCCGGGCCCAATTCAAGGTGTTGGTGATGACCTATAAAGCCCTAAACGGCTTGGGTCCTGGTTACCTGAAGGAGCGCTTACATCCATATACGCCCGCCTGCCCCTTGAGATCAGCGGGAGAGGCCCTTCTCCGGGAACCCTCCGTGAAAGAAATCAGGAGGGTGGGTACTCGGAGGAAGGCTTTCTCTGCGGTGGCGCGTAATCTATGGAATGCGCTCCCCAGAGAGGTCCGCCTGGTGCCGTCGTTATTTGTTTTTCGGCGCCAGGCGAAGACCTTTTTATTTAAGCGTCATTTTAACTGTTAATATTATTGGATTTTATCTGGCCAGGGCGACTTATTTTATATTGTTATTTTTTATATTTTAACTTAATGCTTGCATTTTACAAACATTTTAACTTAATGTTATAACTTAATGTTTGTATTTTAACTTAATGTTGTGAGCCGCCCCGAGGCTTCGGCGAATGGGGCGGCATAAAAATGTTTTAATAAATAAATAAATAAATAAATATAAAAATAAAATGATCAGAGTCACTGACTGAGGACTTGAGACTTTCTGCCTACATCAGACATCATTATTTCTCTTTTTTTAAATATGCATTTTATAATGCCTTGATTGGTACCACTTTAACATAGTGCACCCATGATGTTAAATGAATGTTCGAACCTCATGAAAAATGAAGCATGCTGCCCACATCCCACAACAATGGCATGCTTTGCCATGCAGATCACATGGTGTTTCATGACTTTGGGTGAACCCCACGTGCTGAACCTGGACCTCACATTCCGTTCCACTGGCCTTGCACAGGCTCAACACGCTAAGGACTGAAACTAACAAAAGAAGCAGTGGTGAACTCATCAGCATTTACACCAGAAAGTCCATAAAGAATGCATCAAAGGCAGTAGCTCACACTGTCCATTTAAAAAAAGGGAAATCCTTAATTAGCAAGGTAATTAGCATTCTGGACAGAACTCCATGCTATGCACAAGTGATTATCTTGGGCCCTTGAACAAGGATACTGCAAACCTGCCTGTGCTTAAACCCGTTTGTTTAATCCTGTCCTTCCTAGAATTCTCAGTTTAAACTTTTCTGTGTTCTGACCTAATGGGGCAATCATTGCTAAACAGCCTTTACCATCAGAATGAATTGCTGGTCGGGGCTTGGGGTCCTGCGGATACACACCAGGAAGTTGAGAGCACAGCACAGGGATGCTTCCGACAATGCACTGAATGCTCTCCCCTTTGTCCCTTTCATATATGGCAGGGCGGCTAGACTTGCTTAATGGAAGAGCCAGATATGGTAAATGTCAGATGCTTGAGAGTTAAAAGTGGAGCTGCATGTGGCTCCCAAGCCTCTGTCTAGCCACCCCGATATATGGTATCACCTGTATCCTTTAGTAGTATCATCGACAGAAGGATCTTATGATCGTTGTAGAACACAAGCTGAATGTGAGACAACAAATGTGATGTTGAGCAAATGCTCAACGAAAGAGCAAATGGTATTTGGAACTGCATTAACAGAAGGAGGGCTCCCAGATCACTGGTTCCCTTCTGTTTGGCACTAGTTAGGTCCCATCTTGAGTAATGTGTCCAGTTCTGGGCTCCACAGGTAAGAAGGATGCAAACAAACTGGAAAAGTTTCGGTGGAGGACAACAAAGATGATCAGGGGACTGGAAACAAGGTCGTATGAGGAGAGACTGAAGAACTGCGCATGTTTAGCCTGCAGAAGAGAAGACTGAGGGAAGAAATGATGGCACTTCTCAAAGACATGAAAGGCTGTCACAGAGGAAGGCCAGCATCTCTTCTCAATTATCCCAGAGTGCAGGGCACGGAATAATGGCTCAAGCTACAGGAAGCCAGGCTCTGGATGGACATCTGGGAAAACTTCCTCACTGTTAGAGCAGAATGGCAAGGGCACCAATTACCATGGGAGGCTGGAGACATTCAAGAGGCTGTTGGACGTTTATCTGTCCAGGATGTTTTAACTCGGAGTCCTGCACTGAGCAGGGGCTTGGACTCAACGACCTTGTAGCCCTTTCCAGTTCTATTCTATGATTCTATGGCATCAATCACCCATCTCCATGTCACCACTGGTGACAAAGGAATGGAGAAGGCACTGGATGCATACAACACAATGGCACTATCACTGGGTAAAACAATACATCATATTATCGGAGAGAACTCCATGTAGGGATCAATTTTTCAGAGACAGACCTGCATAATACATAACACCTAAGTTCCCCTTCCATTTAATTTGGGTTCAATGCAATTCTAAAATCCATGTGGGTGTCATTGAGGTGAACTGGTGCTATAGATTCATATCCATCCATCCATCCATCCATCCATCCACAAAATATTAAAATATTACATAATAGTTTCTGCTTCTGAGAGAATAGTCATGATAAACTAGAAAGAAAGCCCATGAGTGTACAATCACTTCACCACTGCCATTCCAGCTGTCCAAAAAAGAAAGAAAGAAAGACCACTGTGGGACCAGAAGTTCAGGTAAGGTGGGAGCATTGACAGACTGCGATTTTCAAGCCTTCCCAGCTTCCCAGAGAAGTTCCTCTCCCTTTGGGGCAACTGCACTTACTCTGTCATCTCCCTTCTATCAATATATTTGTTGGTAGGCCAGCGGGAGAAAAAGCATCACAGGGCACAGGTGCACTGGCTTTTCTGGTCTCACCAACACCAAATTCCACAGGCCCCTAACCAAGAGTGCACCCCAAAAACTCAAGTCTCAAAAGCCACTCTCTTCTTTCCTAAATCCTCTCATCTCATCTGAACTTCTGTGACACGCCTTAACTGGAAATGGGAATCGAGCAATGATGTCAAAGTCTAGTAGGAGAGACGCCAGGGGTGGGGAACCTCTCAGCTGAAAGGCCAAACTCAATTTTGGAGATGCTCATTGAAGCTGCTTTCTAGAAGGGGCTGAACAGAAAAGGGCTGGGGCCAAAAATACGCCCTCGCCCCCAACATATTGTAGCTTAAAGCTCTTATTGCCAGTAAGAAAGCCTTAAGAAAGGCACTTCAACCTTGCACACTACAGGAGGGGGCAGGGGAGGAACAATATCTGGGAGGCCACCAAATGATTGGTGGTTGGAGAAAACAGGGTGGAGCAAGGAGTCAGGGCTGTGGCCTTCTCAGGATCCCTGGAGGGCCAAATTCAACGCTCGGGTCTGAGGTTCCCCACCTCTGTAATAAAAGAAGTGACCAACCATTGTTTCAGAGGTCACAAACCTAGATAGCTATTCATCATCAGATCGGTGGTTTTGACACTAGGAGGCAGTGTTTTGTACACAAACTGATCAGGGTTAGCATTAGACACACTTGTCAAAAAAAGAAGACCTGTACATGTGAGCAGAGAAAGAAGATGCAGAGAGGAAAGAAGGACAAGTTAAGCAGAGACAAGAGCAGCACGGAGTCTTGGAGGTGACCTGAGGTACAGCAGAAGCATTTACCAATATAAACACCGACTAGTGCTGTACAAAAGACATATTGACCTGGTTCACACAACTTAACAACCTCCCATGGATTAAATTACTGCACTGGATGCTACGTGGAGCAGATCTTGCCCAGGATTGTTAAGTTAGATTATTTAAGGGTTGTCTAACTTTCAAATATTCCCTGCCACCCATGGTAAGGCAGACACACATGGACACAATGAAAAAATGATACCCGCTGGCACCCACCACAACACGACAACCTCTCAGGCTCACCGTCGTGTCATGTGAACCAGGTCATTGTGACACTGCGCTTCATTAATCAAGCAACAGCGACCAAATGAAAAGTCTGCTGATGATAGATTCAGGGATGTACATGCAGGAGATTTATGATACAGCTTCATTATCAGCAAAAGTCAACAAGTTGTCACTGCCATATTTATTTCAGCAAGTCGGAAACTCTTTTGTAATGCCTGGAAGCCATAACTCACCCTTCTGTTGTCTTGTCAAGCAAACATGCAAAGCCGCGCTTGGGACAATCCGCAGCATGTGCGCTCCCCTCACACATCCGCTGATCTGCTTTAAGTGTGTGTGTGAAGCTGCTACAATGATGGCACCAATTTATGCCTCAGTGTCCCTACCTGGACACTTAACCACCCAGATCATTAACCCTGAAAGAAGCTAGGAAAGGCAGCCACGTGACAGCCGCAAGTGGGAGGGATGCTTTTCCACAGCTTGTTTGGAAGCTCTTTCCTTGATAGAGTGGAATCCCAAGATTCTTCTCAGAGAAAGGAAGCAAACTCATGCAGCTGCTGACTATATAAATCCCCCCTTGCAATTCCTTCCCTGCAGCATCGACTGATTTGTCACCTCCAACCAAATCCCAGGCCATTTTTCTACATAATCCATCAGGCAATCTAATCTAAATTACTGGGAAGGATTTTTTTTTAAACACTTTCAAGCTTTCATCAGGTTTACCATCAGCTCTGGAGGCTCAAGGTGCAGCAACAAAATATCATCATGATCATTTGCCGTGATGCATTCTCAAAATCTCACACCCTCACACCACGGCCGCAAGACTGGGGCTGTGACAATCACCCAATGACGCGGTGAGAAAAAGAGCAGCCGGACTCTCCAAGAGTCGGAGTGGGAAACTGGTGAACTGGAGCTTGACATGAAGGTGCTTCAGTCCCTGCCGTTTGGCCCCATGCCTTGTGCAGCCAGGCATGCCCTGTTGCCAGGCAAGAGCGTGGGGGTGAAGGGGATGAGGAGGGTGGGGATGGCATCAGCATTCCCAGCCTTCAACGATGGGGGGCTGGACCTCCGCCAGCCCCAGTGTGGGACCCCAAGCCTGAAGTTCCTCCCCCGCTTCAACATAAAAATGTCTGCATGCATCCCACTGTGCATCCCACAGGCCCTACCAAACTGGGCCATGATCATCTTTTGATTATCCCTTGCATTAAAACTTTTGCAAAGCAAAAGCGGGGCAGCCTTGGCAGTTAGCTGAGCATTTGGGAGTGCTAGCTTGATGCTTCCGCTGGGAAAACCACTCTCAGCCATCAAAGCGCCGTTTCAGTGGGAAAGGATTCCGGAGTTTTCCCTGCGCCATGCTTGAGGTCACGTGACAGCAGGCCCTTGCCTCTCATCCCGTACTTACCATGCGGGCAGAGCAGTGATTGCAGCCATGGCACACACGTGAGCGTGTCCTTCTCCGCGCACCCACGTGTCCTCTCAGCTTAGCAGCTCTTAGGGCTTTCTCAGCCAGAGTACTGTTTTTACACTTCAAAGAGGCCACAAAAATGGAGTAGGAAGAGCGCCCTGACTGAACTGCAAAGTGGGAGTAGGGGGTGTCTGAAAGTGAACCACGTTCCAGCAGCGTTAGGTCATTGCTCCATACGTGTGCCGCAATTTTCTGGAGATCTCAGAAGAGCTTAAGCCTACCTAAGTAACTGTTGGCTGGAACAGGAACTAGGCTCTCATCTTGGGTTCTCTCACCACCCACTTCATAAGGCCCATCCTCAAAGATTCCCCTTTCCATTAGGGTGAAATTCTTTTGCTCTGCACGAACCATTCCTAGAAGGATGAGATGGCAAAAACAAAAAACAAAACAAAAAGTGGGATGAATGACAAAGGCAGGGGAGGGACAGTAACGTAATCCATGAACCTTAATAAGAAAAAAAGAAAGAAAAAGCAACAATGGTCTGATTTCGTGGAGAATGGAGGGAAGAACCATAATGTAACACGCTGTACCATGTGTCCAGTTCTGGAGTTATGAAAGTTTAGCAATGCCAAGGAAGGTTCTCAGATGCATGGGATCAGGGCCAGGTGTGGAAACAACCGTGTATCGCCTTGGTAGCACAGCATGCCATGTAGACACATTTCCCAATTTTTTCTTCTTCGTATATTTGAGATCTGCAGAATCTGCAGAATCTGGATTATCTTGGCAGGGCAGCAAGCCAGGAAGGAAGAGGAGCAGCATGGTAGGAGTCGGTAAGGAGGCTGTGACGGGCTTGGCAAGGCACCGGAAAGGTGAGTAAGCCACAGCAGTATGTCAATCCCCCACCCCCGAGTGCCAGCTCATTCCCTTAATTGCCATCACTGAGTGCATCTTCTCCTGGCATCTGATAGGATGGTACGAAACCCCCTAAAACCCACAGATGGTTACAGGGCTCTGGGAGGTTTCTTAACCCCTCTAATCACCCTCCCCTGCTGCATTCAGATGACACAACAAACCGTGTTTCATGAGGGTAATTAGGGAAATGATCTGGCATGTGTGGGGATGGTTAGCAAGCCACATGGCTTATTAGCTATCCTTGTGTTCTGCAAACTGGGCCAGAGAAACAAGAGCTGTAGGGAAGAACGCAAAGTGGGGACAGCACAGGTGCCTTGAGATGGCCAGGCAGAAGGCTTCGAAAAGGAGTGTGAGGCTGCAGCCTGACACACTCCTAGCCTAAAGTACATGTTCCAACCGTCAGCTTTTTGTGGATCCCAAATTCTTCTTTTGTGGGGGAAACAAACATTCAAAGGACACAGGGTCCAGGAAAAGCGGCCTCCTCCCATTTCAAGGAGAAGCCGTCTATACAGGAAGTTACAAAGCCTTCCCCTTTCTACTATTTACTCAGACTTGAAGAGGGGAAGAAGGAACTCTTGCCTTCCATCCCAAGATAAGGTAATTTGAAGAAAATCAGCAGAAAGGCTTTCTGTCCCCTCCTTCCACCTGTAACCCATTGTGCAGCCCTCCCTCAGGTCTCTTTCAAGGGTCAGCCCCCCCCCCCCCCCCGCCAACATGGAAGGGGGCCCACCAGCCCGCTGGGGGGGGGCGGAAGGGCTTGGTGGGGGGCAATTCCCCCCCCCCCCCATGTGAATACGAGATGGCACTTCACACCAGCCAGAGCACTGCTGTTGCTCTTCAGTGTATACACCTATTTGTAAATTTAATGCCATATTCTTTCAAGCACTAGCACCATCACATTTGAAATGTTCGTATCAAAATACCTGCTTTGGCTGGATGAAGAACTAACTCTCTCCTACCTGCAACAATTCACTCCCACCCACTTTGGAAAGAAAGCCCTTCTATTTCAACAGGTGTATTAACAATATACCCTCAAAAATGCAGATGATTTTCTGAGTATATAAAAGAGCACTCTGAAAAAACCAAGTGCCGTGACAATAAGTGCTTGAAATTAAAGCCACGTGATGGCTCAATTTGAAATACCATATCAGGACGTCAGATTTCCCTGCAAAAAGTCCCCTGTGGGGAAGGGCAGCTTTCCCCACAAGGCCCCCTTGGGCCAAGGCTCAGGGATGCTGCATGGATCATGTGTCGGGCGCAGGTGTGCAGCAGAAGGGTTTATCGCAGGGATGAAAGGTCCCAGGAGAAAAGAATTCCACAGCTGTTGGCAGAGCAGAGAGCGGTAAGAAAAACAATGCTTTCTCGAAAAAGAAAAGAATAGCAGGACAGAAGATTTCACAGCTTTTCATCAGAAATAAGCAGAGGCAAATCCCACGGCTCTTTAATTCGCAATCTGTCTGGATTTCAAGTATGTTTTCTTTTTCCAAAGGGGTTAATGCATTGTTACCTGGCTACAGGTATTTAATGATCACCTAGGCTATTTCTACAAAAGTTGATGATTTCTTCCTGCCTCGCCTTCCACAGCATTTGAACAGCATTTGATGGACTCTTTCCAGTTTCTTCTTCTAAGAAAATGTATATATAGATGTTTGTTTGTGTCTTTAGGGACTCCAGTGAAAAACACACATGCTTTCAGTTCCATAAGTCCCTTCCCTGGACACCCAAGAGGGTGGAGAACCCTCCTTCAGAGAGGTTCTTGGGGACAACCTTCCAGCGATAGGCAGGGAAAGGGAGGCAGGGCCAAAATACAAAAGATACCAGCATATTTTAGCTTACAGCTCTTGCTACCAGGGGTGACATTTCAACCTTCTTGAATGAGTGGAAAAAACTGGACAAAAACTGGGAAACTACCAAATGATCAATGGGTGGTGGAAAAGGGGCGTGGCCTTATGGAAAACCCTAGCAGGATGGATTCATTTCCCAATCCAAGGGTTCCCTACCCCCGTCCTAGCAATCTGTATCCAGACTAGGGAAGTAGGAACTGGAGATCAGCAGGGGCACCACACACACTACAGGGAGAACGCCCCACAAGGATCAGATCCCTTCTTTCCAGTCCTGTTTCCTACACTTTCCATGTCCTGCATGACTGGGATTTCTATACCCTGGAAACAAGCCATGGTCTGGTTCTTTGGAACTTCAGTCTGGCTATTGCTGGATTAAGTACAGAAGCAGATGGACCATGGTGAGAACCAGCGGGGCCATTTTTATTCTCACAATTTAGTGGAAGGGCTGATTCCAGAGCATGGAAAGCAGATATGCCCTGTGTTTGCAGGCTCTTTAAGCGTTTTGGAGAAGAGTGAAAAGGGCAGCATTTGTACAGCAGAAGAGTTTGCAAAGCGCAGAGCCGGTTGCTGTTTCTTTCGTAAGAAATGGAACCCCTAGGCCATTATCCAGTGTTCATAATCTGCCCACGCCCGCTCGGTTGTGTTGGGGGTGGGAATGGCCACCAGCCCAATGGGAAGCTGGTGTTTCTGACACCGATCCTGGAAACTAATTGAAAGAAGTTTTTCTTGAATGGGACAGATTTAATGGATCTCCCTTCCAGAGTTCTCCTGACTAGTTTCATTCCAGAAACACTCGTTTCAGCTAGTTTCCAGTTGCTGCGAAAAGCAGTATCTTCCCGTGGGTCTGGTAGTTTCTGCCAGTGCAAGGGCAGGACTGGATACTCGTCTTCATCTGGAAGCAGATCGGAGGAGCGCAAAAAAAGGCATACCTTTCCAGTTATAGGTCCCTGGTGCCCCAAATACAATATAATGGTAATCCTTGGTAAAAGTGGCGGCGACACCTTGCTGACATGAACCAAACTTCTCATGGCCTCTCAACCGGCCCTGGCAAAACCCCCAGTCTGCACCATCCATATTATCATTCTTGTTGATAGTAAGATCCTGGCTCAGGACATAGCAATTTCCAAAGATATCTCGGGTTTCCATTTCTGTGTTTGTGAACTGCCTTTTCTCATAGCGATGTGCACAGGTCTGTAAAGTAAAGAAACAAAAACAAAAATGCCCACAGATAAGCAAAACACGATCCATTACCCTGCAAAGGAAATGGAAAATGGTGCACTTGTACAGTTCTGCTTACTTACTCAAGAATAGGCCCCATCAAACTCTGTAAGATAGTCTTTGGGGACATGGAAAAAGAGACTTCCTTGGAAGGCTATAATGTTTTATTTATTTTAGCAGTAGCAGCGTATATCCCATATTCTTCATGTGGTAATCAGTGCACATGGTGCAATATATAAAACAAATATAAAATTACCCCAATATAAAATTACCCCAACCCCCTCCCCAGCCCAAATATCAACTAAAATATGAATCATGGAGATATCAGTGCTAAAAAAGCCTCATATATAAGAGAATTGCTCAACAGAGAGACTTCTGAAATAGCCCTGCTTTGGACAAATATCTAAAAGAAGAAAGGGTTGAGAACTGGGGAAAAGCATTTCAAGACGTCATTGCAGCTCCTGAGGAGGCCCCATGCCTGGCACAGATTTTGGGTAATGCAACACTGCAGTCCTCCAGTTGTTTTGGCCTACAGTGGCCATCAACCAGCACAGCCAAATGTGAGGGAAGATGGGAGCTGTAGGCCAAAACATTGGAAGACCATAACTTGCCCACTCCTGGCCTAGAAGCCCTCATTGGATAGTCACACCTGAGCTCAGATCTTGATGTACAAGCTAGAATGATTACCTACTACCCAAAATAAGTGCATAGGCAGTATTTTGCAGGAGAAAGCATTTCTCTTATTAGCAGATAGAAGGAACTGTGCCTTCTTGGTGCTACCTTTGGCCATGGGCTTTTGCTCACCCAGACTGTATGGCAGGATGAACTCCTGAAAGATCTGATGGATCCTAAAGAAAGCATGCTGCAAGTGGACAGACCCATCCCTCAGGGCAAAACTAATGTAACTGGCTGCACACATCTGTGCTGATTTAATTGGAAGTTAATCCCACCATTTTTAATGGCTCTTACTCTCAGGTATGCATGCCTAGGACTGCAACCTGAAAGTGTGCCAAGACATTAAGAGAAACTTCAGCTGGAACCTTATACCCACCTACTTAAAAACAAGCCCCACTGATTTAATGTGGTTTATGGTTACTATTGCACTGGTAGAACCCCTAAATATTGCAGATGTTTTTCCAGTTGATGACACCAGCAACAACACCCACAGTCCAAACATCAAAAATAGAAACAATCCCATATTTCTCAGCTCCTATAGCAGGTGCTACATCTCTCTTTGTGTTTTTCAGTAAAATATCAGCATAAACATTGGGGGAAATATCATTAATTAAGTCTAACAAAATGTTTAGAAGCTGGTGATTCCTGGAAAACTTACCACGACTTTCCCACCAGGGCCTTGACTTTGGACAGTTACACCCATCCATTGATCTTCCTTGCTTTCTGTTTTCAGATCAACTGAAAAATCAACACAAGCTGTTTCCATATACTGCTCCTTTATTTATTTGCCAACATATTATTTTAACTAGGAATCCATTGACTCACTTCATTTGTTACCTGGAAACATCTGTAGATGGCACTGTTTGTCTAGAATATCAATACAAGGCGAAGTCTCAACTGACTGTCAGTGTTGGCCAACTTGTGGCATCCCAGATGTTGTGGCCATAACTTCCATCAGCATTAGCCAGCGTAGCAAATGGTGAGCAGGTTATGAGAGTTGTAGGACAAAATATCTGGAGGGCCTCACACTGCCCTTACTTATTAATTATATTTATGCCCTGCCTTTTTTCTTCCAAGAACTCAAGGTGGCTCACTTAATCCTCCTCTCAATCTTATCCTTTACTGCACAATGGAAATAGCCGATTCCAAAGGTCCCCGGTGCGGCTCCCAGAGATGCCAGGAAGCCGCTGGAAGCCACCGTCGTGCCTGCACAGCTCTCCCCTCTTTTTGCCCTTAAAAAGTGTTTTACAAAAAACCTTGAGAAATGTGAGGCTGGTTTTCTCTCTCTGGCTTTCTAGCCCCGACCTCTTTGATTCGCTGTCTCCCCTTCCCTACCATTATTTCTCTCCCCACCACCTCTGGAGCTCACTTCCGACTGGCCCGGCCCCCATGGCAGCAATTGTATGACCAACCCCTGCCTCAGTGGAAGCCATTTTGTGATGGTGGCTGCAGCAGCTTCTCAGATTTCCAAATGTGCCCACAGGTCCTGGTGAATTTATACAAACAGGACTACAGCAGTATCAGGGTGGCAGTGCGGAATGCTCCCCATTCAGGATTCTCACAACTCCCTTCCCTCCCTTCCCTTCCCAGTCCTCTTTTTCTGTTCCCCTTCCTCCAACAGTCAGCAACCTAAGCCCACTGAGCATGTTCGGTCCTCACTGGGCTGTTGTTGGGGGCTGTTTTCTCTCATGGTTTTTTCCTTGAAGTTCGGTATTTCTGCAAAACTTAGGAATCCGCCAAGGACATCTCCCTCTTGTGTCAAAGACCTGCTGCTTTGACTATTGGCATCTGAGATTGCTATATATATATTCAGTGGTCTTAATTTTGTGCTGATTATGAACTGCTTAGACATATAATGACACCGTGACTCCTCTACAAACTGCTTGAATTATCTGGACATGGCTACTGGAAGGCCACGACGCACAGGCAGCCCTCCTCTACCACCCACACACAAAGATTAAGAACATAGGATGAACCAGACTGGATCCGACCAAGAGTTCACCTAGCATTCCAGCGTCCTGTTTCAACAGAGGCCAACAAGAAACCCAAGGCAGGACAGATGCACTAGAGCCCTCCAGTTGTGGTATCCAACAACAGGTACACAGAGGCGTGCTGCCTCCCAGACTGGAGAAGCCATTGATAGACTTATCCTCCATGAAATGTGTCTAAGCCCCCTTTAAAGCCAGTCACACTGGTGGCCACCACTGCATCTTGCAGGAGCGAATTCCATCGTTTGCTTTGTGAAAAAGTGCTTCCTTTTATCTGTCCTGAATCTCCACCAATCAGCTTTGGGGGACCACCCCCGGTTCTAGAATAATGAGAGAAAGAGAAATGCATCTCCCTCTTCACTTTCTTCACACCATGCATAATTCTGAATATCTCCCTCATGGGAGCTCAGAAAAGCACAGGAGGTATAACTCAGGGGCAGAGCACCTCTCTGCATGTGGAAGGCCCTAGGGTTGATCCCCAGCAGCTCTAGCTGGTCCAGTAAAAACTCCTGCTGGAAACTTGCAAAGCCACTGCTAATCATTCTCAATAATTCTCAGCTAGAGGGACCAATGGCCTGACCCAGTATAAAGTAATTCCCTATCAGAAGATCTTGAGGGCTGTGCACATGTCGTCAAGGGCTCCCAATGCATCAATTAAGTCAACTGATAACTAAGACTCCTCCAGTGGTTTAAATAAGAAATAATGACACTCTGGCCTAAACAGAACAAAATCTAGATATTGCTGAGCTCACCTTCTTCATCAAATTGTATACGTTCGCACGACTTAGCTGGAGAGGCAATGTCACAGCTGTACAGCCCTCCCGTTCTGTTGGCTCGCTGGGATGGGAAAGCTTTTTGACGAGGTGCACCAACCAGCAACCTATGAAATAAACAACAGAGTGCATTTGAGGAATTGAATTTTTAAAAATGAGGGGAAGAAAATAAAATGCAAGCTTCAGCATTTGCTACTTTCTAGGGCAGAACCTCTTCTTTTGGAACCTCTTTCAACCCAAGAGTTCCTTTGCAGAGCAACTTTTGGGGGAGGCATACTAGTGGTTGGAGGGGGAGAAATGCTAATGGGGCTGAGTTAAAAATACAAGGATGTTTTAGCTTAAAGCACTTACTGCAGTAACTAAACCTTAGGAGAGTTACTAATCCTCCAGTAACTACAAGGCCATAGCATTTTATGATAAGGAAAAGATTCAATACAAGCTGGGAAACTAACTGGCAACTGGGGGGAACGAATGGGGCCAGGGGAAGGGAAAGGGGACATGATCATATGGGGATTGGGACTCTAGGAGGACCAGATTTGGCCCCACAACTGAGGTTCATCACTCCTGGCATTATTCTTCACTACTGCTCGCTCTTCCTTTCTCTCTCTCTCTCTCTCTCTCTCTCTCTCTCTCTCTCTCTCTTTCATCATCTTCTTCTCATTCATAAGTTTAAAGAGGAAGTAAACATAATTTTGGCATAGTATTTACATGAGCAGATTACAAAAGAATGGGGAAGTAATCAAGAATTAAGTATCTTTATTTGGAGCCACGCCGAACCAAATTCCACAGAAATGTGCAAGTGCTTGAAAGTGTTTGAATTCTTCAGAAAGCTTCCTTAGGCTAGATGTTACACACTACAGGAAATTGTGGAGAAGTACTGACCCATCCCTTGCTCTTTGTACCAATTAATTGATTCAGAGCTCTGGAGGGCTGAAAAGTTAAATATTATTGTAGAATGCAGCTTAGTTGTAATAGATAACCTGCTAACACAATATAGCCCCACTGTGGATCTCAGATTTTTTCTTCCTCATGGACCAATACAGCTGTCTTTTGGGTTTTCTTTAAAAAAATGTTTCTTGATTATATATCATACAGGGAGATATATATGTTTTAAATTTAAAATGTTTACCGATTGTGTTTCCAGTTACACACACGCATCCAGGCCATAAGCACAAAAAGTGTATGAAGCAGCCCTATGCCTCCCCTTCAGGCAGCTCTGCAAATGCATTCACATGGATCTGTGTTTGCACTCACAGCTCCGGGCGCGTCAGAGCACCCAGCAGGTCGAGGGAAAGGACAGCAGGAGAAGCCGTCTTTTGCCTGCATTTCTGCATCCACAGTGGCTGGACTCCTGCTAGGTTTTCTTTTACTGAGCGCAGCAGGACAAAGCGAGCCCAGGCAGGTGGTGAGGGAGGCGAGCCAGCAGCAGGGCCCGCCGTCCTGGGCACCTCTTCACACAAGGGACCTGTGACAGGGCTACTGCTGCTCCTCTGACTCACGAACCGTGACTTTCCCTTATGTGAATTAAGCCAGGGCATAATCCTGTCCATGTTGAGACAGAAAATTCTCTAGTGTAGCCAACTAGGCAACGCTGAGGTTCGCAGGACTCTTTTCCGTCTGCACATGCATGGCATACATACAATGACCCTGCTGCCGTGCCCCACGCTGCTGGACCGCCCTCGCCCCCGTCACTCTTCCCCCCACTCCACCTTCCACTGCGGCCTCAATATGGCGAGAGAGAGGGAGAAAGGGCCAGAGCAGTAGAGAGCTACCTGCCTTCCCCGATGGCCATTCTTCTTCAGCAGGTGGCGCCCTTGAGCATCACCAAAGGATGGTGCCAACGGGCATTGCCCATTTGACGTTGCTCTGAAGCAGGTTCTGGCACCAGCTCCTTTGCTGGAGTGAGGCCAATTGGTATAGCTACTGTTGATCTTACTGCATCTTATTGTAAGCCACCCAGAGAGCCCTCTGGGCTATGGGGCAGTCTATAAATGTTAAAAATAAATCACTAAAATATCACATAAATACTCTATGAAATGTATATTCATTGATATCTGCTTTGTTACCCAGAAACCTCTTCTACCACCTGTTGCCACATTTAATTTGTTATGCTTTAACCACTCTAAAAGCCACCTCCACACCTGCCAAAACAAGAGTCTGGCCCATGCTTTTCTACCACCAGACTTGCGCCTAGGTGACTTGCGCACCCAAACAAAAGGGAAAATGGTTTGTGGCGGCCTGGATCGTTTTGCTTCAAGCACCGGTACGTTCTTTAAAAGAATCCCCTACATTTAAACTTTGTTTCAAATAGAGAACAACCAAAGAGCTGAGGGAGACCCTTTTCTTCCCACTCTACTAGTTTTCTGCCTGTTGTTTTAAGATGGAAGAATATGCAAACAAGCAGCTCTGAGGTTTGCTCCCTCAGAGCTTTGATCTAATCACAAGTATGGGGGGGGGGGTTCACCCATCCTGTCCCCTTCCCCCAGTCTCTCCAATTAGAACAAAATATGAGGAACTCTTTGCCCCTTTCACCAGTGCCTTACTGGATCCTCCCTTCCTTTTTAGAAAATAAAGTACTGGGTGTACTACATGATGTGCTGAAAGGGGGAATGAATTAAAACTTCCTTTCTGTTCTCCAAACCAGGCACAGTGGTCACAGGGGAACAGGATGCATGGGCAAAGTTTTCACTAGCACCACTGAAACCCAGACATGGTTTTGTCCATTTCACTGAGAGCATTAGGGAAAGAAGGTGGAATCAGCAGGCCCAGTGAAAGCAACCTCGTCTGTTCTCCCAGAAACAGTGAGAGAAACCGGCCAGGGAGAATCTGAGGAGGCTTCTAGTCCTCCGCACCCACAGACATATTTCCATGCAGGACTGAGGAGTTACAACGTGAACAGAATCCCTCCCCAAATGTCGCACCGTGATGAGAAAACATGGTGGCTGAAGGCCTGTTCGCAGGCATACTCCTCCACCCAGAACACGCAGGAAGTCTGAAATGCAGCTGCAGATCCACCTTGCTTCAAGGCTGCCAACTGCTAAAATGTAGCTGCGGGTCTGTTCAAATTGCGCTTCTGATTTTCACATACACCCTCTGAATATGGAATCTTACAAATGCATTAAGCAGCATGTGTGAAATCCATCTGGATGCACCCACCCTGCTCAACACGGCATTTCCTGCCATGTAGGCAGGGCAGGACCCACAGCTCAGTGGAGGAGCGCAGCCCGACTTTCTCCCACCAGGTGCCCTCCAAATGAATTGGGCTAGAGCCCCCACCATTCTAAGCCAAAATGGCTATGGTGGTGGTGGGTGGAGAGAGCTGTGATCCATTGCTTCTGGAGGGCATCCGGTCAGCAAGAGCTGCCACATGCTTAGCTGCAAAAAATTCTAGAGGCAGCTGCTAGAGAAGGAAGCAGGACTCAGGAAGGGCCCAGCCGGAGCTGCTGTCTATCACAGGAGGCGTGCCATGCCCTGGAGCCATAACACTTCAGTTCAGTTCACACATTCAGTTACCAGACAGAGCATCCACCATCCAGTGCTGCCTATCTGTGGTGGCCATACAGCTGCCCCTGGAAAACTCATCACTGGAAGTTTTTCCCCCAAGATGCTACCTCCGAACACACGGCTCTTTTTAGCTGTCCTGCCTAGCAGCCACAACAAGACCTATCCTCCACAGAAGGCGTCTAATGCTCTGATGCAGCCTTCTCCAATGCAGCACCCTCCGGAAATGTTCAGAATATAACCATCCTTGGAAAGTATAGAACAGGTGCAAAACTTTGGGAAAGTGCTGGGTAGGAGAAGGCAGATCTAATTCTTTGCAAAGGGCATCTTAAACTAGAGGTGAGTGCCACATCTGAAGGACATCAGGACAGTAAGAAAAAATCCTGTATGTCTATGCAGAAATACCCCCTATTGAGTTCAACAGGATTTTCTCCCAGGTAAATGTGTATAGGACTTAATTATACACTGTCTGAAGGAGTTCCTTGTGTGTACCCCAAACTCCCTGCCATCAACCTTTATTGTGTCCTCCTTTTCATTTCCCCAGAAAGAAAAAGCACCAAGTTCTTCCCTTAAATGCCTGCCCTGGAACTTCACTCCCCTCCCTCGGCAAAAGCCCCACTGAAGTCTGTAGAATTTACTCCTCAGCAACTGTGCCTATGACTGGGTGGAACACAATCTACAGACACGCCAATGGCCATCACTACATTAAGATATATCTTCAAAGCTTACAGAACTTTTTTAAAAGAGCAATGTCAACAAATTTGTTTGATAACATTTTTTTAAAAAGGAATGAAAGAGGATCAAGGTGAAATTTATCCCATGCCACAGATAAGCATACAAACAGCAGTTGGCTGCCAGGTCTGGGTGTTCCCTGACAAATACACATTTCCTTTGAAACTTCAACCTACCCATACATTGTGTGATGTGGTTTAGCTTGGAGGAAATGCTTAGGGCAATTTAAAAACATCACTTTCTTTCCTTTGAGATGCGGATTGAAAGCAAATCTGATCAATGCACATGAATGAAAGGCTTCTTGGGGTGACAAGATGTGGCTAAGCTGCAAGAAAGGACAGGGGTTCCTGGGCATTTTTTTTTGTTCGTTTGTTTGTTTTTATTTCTGCACTCAAGACTATTCTTTCATCACATTGTTCCAAATGCATTTATTGATTCACTGAGTTCCTGGCACAATGGTCCCGAAAAGGGCATTTCAGCAGATATGATTTGCACGAACAAGAAACAGCTCTCCTGTACAACTTGAAAGAGGATCCAGAAGCCTTACTTTGAATCTAGTCACCCTGAATCCAGAAAACCCACAGCTTTCATTTGTGCAACCCTGGAGATCACAGAAATTCCCTATTGTGCCATTTCCCCCAAATAAATAGCAGTAAGTATAAACAGGATTCAGCTCAAAAGTCAAACCCTATTCAAGAAATTAGGAAAACAGGAAGCTACTTTACATGGAGAAAGACCTAGCCCTGAGGTTTGGACAGGAATTTTCTTAGCCCAACCTAAGAAAGGTATCACATCTGGAATTTACTGCATGCAGAGCATGTGTTCTGCTACTGGGCTAAAATCCTTCCTTAAGCATCTAGTGGAATCCCACTGA